CCTATCCCTCTTAGTGCCCCGGCCAGAGCTCTAGGCGCAGTTCCCCCACTCCCTTATCTAGGTGTGGCAGCGTCTGTTTTTAATTATTGATTTGACTGCCCGCCCCCTTCTCACCTCGCCGCCCGCAAATACCGCGCATGCGTCAGATACCAATTAATGCAGCTACGCAGTCCCCGGGATTGGAAATGCAAATGGCGACTAAACAATGTCACATCATATCGCGAAAATCAATTTTTAAAGAGAATGAATTAGATTTTGACCATTAAAAAAAGCATTGACAGAACAACATATAAAAAGAACATAATAAAACATGTCATGTCACAGAATCACTTTGAGCACTTATTCATTTATTCCTTGCTCGATAATTACGACACAAGCGCTTTGCCCGACGGCTCAACTAGTACTGATTGCCACACCCGACCGTTACACATGCGCCACAGCATCCTCCACACTACTTCACCCCCATCTTTCCCCACCCCTACCCCTCTTAGTGTCCCAGCCAGAGCTCTAGGCGTGGCAGCGTCTATTTTCTATTATTAATTTGATGGTCTAAGTACTCGGCCTCGTCTACGTACTATTAACGTTATACAAATCACCGACCTAAAGTACTGCACTTGCGTATTGTAACCGATTAATTAAGATATCAATTTTACGACAAGGTTTTTAGATTTCGATACTTTGCACAAATATTTATTACAAGCCGTCGCCCGCGACTTTGCCCGCGCGGAATTTAAGAAAAGACTTAATAAGAAGCCTATGTATTCTTTTAACCATTTTTCTATCCCAAATATCAACGAGATCCCTGAAGCCGTTCAAGAGGTACCTTCTAACAAACAACCATCCTTCTATCCCTCTATACATCTATCCATCCAAACATTCCCATATATGTAATGTACTAGTTGTCGCTCGCGCCTCCGTCCGCGCCTATATTTGTAGCCTATATGTTCCACATCCACGCCAAATTTTACCGACGTTATGTAGCCGTTCAAGAGATACATTCTAACATCCACTCATTCACTTAAACATTCGCATTTCTAATATTAGACTACTATTCATAAATAGGCATAATCTCATCATTAAGTAAATGAACACAGCTTGTATGATGATTTTCTCAGGTAGGCAGAACAGCGAGAACGCTGAGCTGAATAGTCGGACAGGGCAGTACTGCTATTGTCTGAAGTTGTTGCTGTGCGTAACACTGCGCATGGCTCAGGTACCAATCAATGCAACTGCTCAGTCCCGGGGATTGGAAAAGCAAATGGCGACATATAAATATCATATCCCGAAAATCAATTTTTAAAGAATATCAATTAGATTTTAACCATAAAAATGTCAGAACGACAAATAAAAAGAGTGTATTCTTTTTTACATATAATACAATGTCGCAGAATCACTTTGAATTGGTATTTATTTATTCCATTTGCTTATTATAGTTATTAATATTGCTAGAGTACTGGTTGTTTCGATGAGCAGCTGCCCGACGGCCCAACCGGCACTGGTTGTACCATCCGACCTCTACACATGCGCCACAGCATCCCCCCTACTTCTCCGCAACGCCATCTATACCCCTCCCCTTTCGCCCGGAATCCTCTTTGTGTCCCGGCCAGAGCAAGTCAGCTATTGCGCGTGCGCCATAGCGTCCCCCGCCTCATCGATGATCCAGACAGAGCTCTAAGTGTAGTCCCCCCACTCCCTATATCTAGGTGTGGCTGCTCTCTAGACAGGCTCAATTATTGATTTGATTTCCTCGCCCGCCCACACATAATATTGTACATTACGCGCATGCGTCAGGTACCGATCAATGCAGCTACGAAGTCCCGGGGATTGGAAAATAAAATGGCGACTAAACAAAATCATATCATATATCTCCGCCCTACTCTTTGAATCCATAATGCATTAGGGGTGGCACGCGTAACAATTTTTAAATAAATTAAATTATATTTCACCAAAATTATTTGACTTATAAAAAGGATACATACTTTGCAGTTTTGCATAATCACTTTGAGCAGATATTCACTTATTCCTTGCACTATAATTACTACACAAGTCCGCTGCCCGACGACGCAATTAGCACTGATTGCCACACCCGATCCTTACACATGCGCAACAGTATCCCCACTACCTCTCTTCGCCCATCTTTCCAATCCCGGGCAGAGCATGTCATCTACTGCGCATGCGTCAGATACCAATCAATGCAGC